CCCTTGTAGACCTATCAGGTCGTTGACGCTGACATAGCAGACTCTATAGAGCTGTTGTGTTGGCATTCCAGGGGTGACACGTGGCAGGCATAACATGCTGTTGTGGGTGCAGTGTTGATCGTGCACTTGTGTGTTGGCAGACGGTACGGCTTCACGATTTGCTGTAGTGTCGTGTGCTGGCCCTTGTGTCTGGTTGCATTGCTTCTGCAGATGGTACAACCGTAGAGAAAGGAAGGCTAACAATTTATCGTTGTGGTTGTGTTGGATGACCTACTTATCTGTTGGTCGTTCTGTGGGTGTTGTGCATACTCACCTGTGTGTTGTTATCTTGATGACATTGGTCGTGGCTGCAGTACCTGTACACTTGCTGTAGAACGTCATCACACATAGAACAAACAACAAAGTTACATTTAGATTTATTGTGCGGCATTCACACGCTGGGGAAAATGACTAATCTCTGGAAATGCATGCGTGCCTCTATTCTCACGCGTTCAATACCTCTCTTCTTCTTTCCAATCCCTCTCACTGTCTATGCCGATGAAGAAGGTAGGGGAACTTAAGGCCCGTGGTCAAATTGATGCAAGAAGACAGACTTTGATCGGTCTTCTTCGCCAGCTTCTCGGTGAGATAGACGACACCGGTTCAGAAGCTGAACGGCTGGTTCACGGACAGTTCAATCTGCATGTTGCAGAAGGCGAACTGGTAGCCGCAAAAACAGCCATTCAGATGATGGAAACCGGTAAGAGAGTTGAGGACCTCATAAAGCAAGGGCGAATGACCCTTGACCGGCATGTCGCCGAGAATCTAGACAAGATGGACCAGGAAAGGAGAAAAGAAAAGAAGAAAAGAAAGAATAGAAAGTGAAATCACAATTGTCTGTAGATATAATGAAGGAAAATGTCAAGCAATTAGAAGACACGTTGAGAGAAGAAAGAAGAAAAATTGAGGAGTTTCGGAGATAGCAAAAACAAGAAGATGAAGAAGAGAGAATAATGAATGAACTAAGGCAAAAGTTTCACTATGAAGAAGCAGGCAACAAGCTTGCATCCATTCTACATTCTATCATGGTCTACCTTGTTCATCTTGAGAAGAAGATTGATAGCAATACTGCCTCATTAGAGACAGTGACCATACTCTTGAAATGGAAAGATAAGGTAGGAATTGAGGAGGAGACCAGGGGGGAGGTAGTCAAGAAGGAACCCCAGGAAAATTAATGAAGGATGCAATACAGCGAGTCACGCCGGAGAAACCTGAAGGGTCCAAGAAGGAACCTAAGAAACCGACACTGAAGGAAGAAGAACCCGCCAAGAAGGAAGAACCGGCCATGGAGGTAGAAAAACCGAAGAGGAAGGAAAAAGTGAAAATGAAGTTGTCCTTCATGTACAATAAATTTTGCGATCTCGCTCTCCAAAGAGAGCAGATGACCGCACACGTAAAGGGTTCCTATGCTTCGGTTGTAAAGTTAGGACCGGTTGGTGGGTATGGTAAGCGGGTCCTTTGGCGGCAAAAGCTCCAGGACCACATGCTTGTTGTTTTTTATGATGACACTGTAGAGAAGTTACCCCTCGATGAGTCTGAGGGAGGAGGAGGTAATAGCGGCAGTGAGTTTGGGAAGGGTGACGTTGTCGGAAGACAATGCGGCGCAGCGGCAGAAATCGACTCGTCGCAGTCAACCTCTGCGCTGCGTCAAAGCTGCGCTTAGGGACGTCCACGGTCATAGTCAAGCTGGGCCCTAACGCATCGGTTAGATTTGCCCCTGGGTCGAAATCAAGGGAAAGACGGTGCGGCGGTATGGTCCGCTGGAGACCTAATCGTCCCCGTTGGACTGGACCGGCGCGACCGCAATGGGCCAATTAGTGGGGTCCGGTTCAAACGGCACCTGAAACGGACCAAGGGTTAGCGAGATAATTAAGTTTGACCGGTTGGGACCGGACCGACACGACTGCGTAACCTGGCCAGGAAAGGAACAGCCCTAAGTAAGCCATATAAATGAACAGCCAGGCCTGAATAATTAAAATAGGGTGATGTGCTATTTTTAGCACGGGACTGAGTGTTCATTTCCCAAAGTCGGGCCTGCGCCAGTCCCGTTCTAAAAATAACACAGCCCCACGCTATTTTTAGCGTGGGACTGACTGTTCATCTACCGGAAACTGGGCCTGCGCCAGTCCCGTTCTAAAAATAACACAGCCCCACGCTATTTTTAGCGTGGGACTGACTGTTCATCTACCGGGGCCTGGGCCTGTGCCAGTCCCGTTCTAAAAATAGGACTGACTGTTCATATC